AAGAGAAGAATTTTATTTTTGGAAAACCACACACAATATCACATAAAATCCGAGGAAGATGTCATTAAAGAGGATAGTCTTGTAGCCATGTTCATCCTAGGATATGAAAGATGCAAGGTGGATGAGTTAATATTTTTTTATTGAGCCAATTTCTGTTTATGAAAAAGACAAACTCTTGAGCTCCACAGAGCTCTGTCTCTGCTTAAAAGCTTGTCTCTTTCACCAACAGAAGTTGAGCCAATAAAAGATATTATCTCACCACCTGGCCTCTCTCATTGAAGAGGTCATTATTAGGCTGATCTAACATTAGACCCCAAACTGGGTGCAAAAGGTTTCCCAGCAAATGTGGGAATAGCAGGGAGGGAAGAACAACAAACAGGTGCTCCAGCTGAAACTTAACATGGAGATCTTTTGATTTCTGAATACAACACATTCTGGTTTCAGTTCTGTTAAGAAAGAGATCAAGTAGACCAGAGTTTCAGACTGTCACATTTCCAAATTGCAAAGTATAATTTCATTGTAATCCAAAGGGATTTAGAAGCATGAATCATCAACTAAAGCTAGGAATGTCATCATCACTGATTTCCTGAGGTTTACCTCACAGCGTTAAAAAAGTTGGGAAGGTAATACACCTACACCCCGTTATTTCTAAAGTATAGCTTGTGCATGCACACTCTTAAGAGAGATATTTTATTGCTGCATCTGATCAACAAAGAATGTCACTGTAAGAGTACTGTTTTCTTGTGAGTCCAAGAGAAGACTTACAACATTATGAAATTTTCAACATTTTCTTTTTAAACAATGGAGAAAATTGTCCTTGAGCTCCAGCATGATGATTTTTGTACTTACAACTTTTCACAGATACAACACATTCAGGGGAAATTGGCACCAAGAAAAAAGTGAAAAGACTGTTAAGCTTTCAGAGATATTTCCATGCATCCAGGCTACTGCGTGGAATTGTACCACAAGCTTCTCTGTACTTACTGGATGAAGACTACCTTGGACAAGCAAGGGTAAGAAACATCCTCAATACTTGGAAATATCTTGCTGAAGAACATCATTTTATAACTTGTTCTTCTGAAAAACAAATGGGTAGATGAAATGGCTATAATTACGCACTCTAATATTGCCCCCCCAAACACATGTACTGTACTTTCTGCCATGGGTCTTATGCTCATAGCATTAAGGAATGAATATTAGAGTGCCAAAAAATTTCTAGACCTGATGCCAAAGTTTCAAACTTAACCAAAACAAACTACAATCTGGAATTATTAAGTGATGAACATACATTGTATGCCTGAAGTATCCCTAAGTTAGTTATAAATGTAAGCTGATATAAAACTTTACGTAGGATTTATTTCATCCAAGGAAATGCAGCCATCTGTGCAGAAACTATTTAACAATCCATAGTTAACACAGTTTAGGCTAGAAAGTGAAGAATGCTAATTGGAACTACAAAGGAACTCATAGTAGGCAATATAATTACCTGATTCTTCAACTCTTACTCACACTGAGTAGCGTTTTATCCTATGATTAGTTCTGTTGATGCCAGTTCATTAGTCATATGTGTAAGCATTACTCAGTGCAAGAAAGGGTATCAAATTGAAGCCTCCATTTGGGAACTTGGACTGTGTTAAGTGCTGAAGGAATAACATGACAACATAGAATTCGCCATATAAATTAATCCAGATTCTGAATCCTGAATACACCTAGTCCAATGGTTCTCAAACTGTGGGTCAAGACCCCAAAGTGGGTTGTGATCCCATTTTAATGGCGTCATCAGGAATGATGTTAGATTTGCTAGGACCCCAGACCAAAGCTGAAGTCCAAGACATTCTCCAGGGCTGCAGCCTAAGCCCTACTACCTGGGGCCAAAAACCCATGGTTTCAGCTGGTGGGACTCAGGTTACAGTCCCCCCACCTGGGGCTGAAGCCTTTGCACTTCAGCTTAGCTTCGTTTCCTCCCCTCCTCCCTGCCTGGTTGCCTAGGCTTGGACAGGCTCAGTCTTCAGTCTCCTCTTTTGGGGTATTGTAGTAAGTTGTTGTCAGAAGCGGGGAGTCAGTGCAATGAAGTTTGAGACCCCCTCACCTACCTTTTGTGTACTGCTGTCAATGCTGGGGTGTCACTGAGACTCCTCTCTGACTGCATACACTTCATACTAGCTGCAGCATGAAAGGAAAGGTTATTCCTGGTCCAAATAGTACAGCTACATTTTTAAGAGGTCACATTTCTTCACAGGCACTAAGATAAAATGCAAGAATCTAGCCTCCAAGAGAACTCACATTGTACAACCTATTTTGAAAAATACAGAGCTAGTTTGGGGCAATAAGGGAAAGATGCAAAAAGCTGTACAGTGACCAAGCATTTGGCAAAATATTTTCTTTTATTTTTCACATGTTCTTTTTACTTCATTTTGAATATATTTTACAGGGTCTCATTTACTGTCTTGTCAAATAAAAGAGCAAGAGGGTTTCTCACCCAGTGGAATAAAACTTGGCTCTTGAAGGCAGAGACATTGTTATTTTAATCCAATTTCAAAAGCATCTGTATCGCTCTCATGAGGATAATTTTGAAGCTGTAACAACTATTCCTATGATTACTTAATGTACAGTAATAATTATTTAAATCTGCTTCACAGCCTGACATAACAGTTATTTTACTTTTCATTTTCAGCACATGCTATCCAAAGTGGGAATGTGGGATTTTGACATTTTCTTGTTTGACCGTTTGACAAATGGTAAGTCATAAAAAGTAAAAACAAACAACAACAAAAACAAAACTTTTTTTTTTTGTCATATGACCCCTCTCAGTTACTCCAGGAATTCATAATTATTTTGCTAGACTTTCCCTGTTCAAACATTTAAATGGGACTTGTAGGGAGTTCAGCTCCTTACAAGTTCACATCATTGAATATTTTCAGGACATTCACACAATTGTGTTATGTTTACATGTATCCTGTATCTATACATTTAATTTCTTTATATTTGTCATGGCCACCTTTTATTTATGTATTGTAAAATGATAATTACTAACATTTAAATGGTACCCGCCACCATGTAAAATCCACAAGTTCTTAAAAATCTGTGGCTTATTTCATCTCATTACAATGTGCACTGACCCTGTACCACCCCCCACCTACACTGGGATCATCCTGCACTGATTTTTTTAAGTCCAGACTCCATCAGAAACAAATTTTTATTACTATGACATGTTTTTGTCTGAATTATGCTTTACATATATTATCTGTCAGGATAGGATATTAATTCTTCTCTCGTTCAATAATGCCATAATTATGAATTGTCCATAAAATGTGTGCGCGCTAAGGTCTATATTTGATTCTACACACATGAATCTAGGCAATGAACTAACATGGATCAGTTAAGAGTAGAAGAGGCATTCAGACCCCATGGGTGAGGACCACCCTATCCCTTCCACATGGCTAAATGAGAGGAATTTCCCTATTAGATCCCAGGTAGACTGGCATTAAAGGCAAAGACAAAGTGTGGAAAAGGTTGGGGTCCACTGATTTAGAGGATTACTTATTAGCTCTCTGATTGGCAGTACTGTAGAAATTATGAGGAACAGTCTGCAAATGACAAAGAAAGCAAAAATGTAATTCCACTGGTTAATTATATTCCTGTGCTTCCATTGTATAGCACAATAGCTGAAGAATCAAGGAAATGTCTTTCTGTACTTTTACCTATAATCTGTTTCCTCTTCATATGTTCATTATCCTTCAACCTTGAATCACATACAGAGAGAAAGGACTCCCTTTAAACCTTTCCTTACATTATTGTACTTTTATATAATTTAAATTTTCTTTCAGTTCCGTGAACATGGGTTATTATAAAGTTACACATACTCTTCCTAAATAGCTTGTCAATACGAATACCAATTTAGGGTTCAATTTGCCACTATTACCTGTGCTGAACTTTTAATGAAGTTAGTGTGAATTTAAGGGAAAACTAAGTCCTTGCTAGGTTGAAATGCATTTTCTATTGCATAAGACTGCATCATTGTAGTCAGATCCAATTACAGCCGTGTGCTGAATTGGATGCATGGATTTTTCATGTTTGCACAATCATTGATTAAATTAAAAAGTTCAACTACTTGCAAACTGCTGACTTCTCAGTACTTTGTTTGGCTTTCAAGACTGATTAGCTTTGGCCATGTACTTAAATAATTGAAATGGGCTGACACTATAATTAGGGCTTTTAATATTAGGTTCTGACTGATCTATACCAATAAAACACTCATAATTTAAAAAAAAAATGAAATTGACGGTTATCCAATGAGCACTGGAGAAACATCAGAAATGGTTCATATTGATTTCATTCCTTTTCCAGTGAAGTTTGTTTATATAGGCACCCTGTTTATTTATATCTATGGGCTGGTCTAACAGAACAGCACATTAACATGCTGCATATTAAATTGGTCCACGTGGATTGCGCTGGTGTACACTATAGGTCCCCCAGTGTGCTTTATGTAGTGCTGTTTGAAACAATACTACCTGTTTGTACAAATAGAGAGCCTCCAAATCCTGATTTTAGACATTTATATAGAATTCAAAAGTTGCTAAAATAAATGCTGAAAAGTGAAATTAATAAACCCTGAGAAACAAGAAGCAATGAACTAAATATAGTTCATTGGAGGCACTGCTAAATTCAAGCGTTAAAAACATTAATTTAATCTTCTGCATAAATTCCTGGAGTGGCCCTTGTTCCTTCCTAGTAGGTCTTTTCTGGACACTGCTTTGTGAATTCAGTATGTTTATAATATGAAAATAGGAAACTGATTTCCTGTACACTATAAACTACATACAAGAAAGAATATATCTAAAGCTGAATTCCAGTACCATTTTCCATACAGGACATACATTGTGATGAGTAACTTGACTCGGATACACAAAGTTACTCATGGGCATAAATTTGCATTGCCAACGCAGCAGGACTGTCCTGGAGTCTCCAAGAACTTTAAATTAACCTTTAATTAAAGATTATTTCATGTGATGAAACCTCCAGGAATATGTCCAACCAAAATTAACAACCCTAGCGTAAATGTTGGCAGGATAAGTTCTCAAGAGATTGAATCAGTTCAGATCATTAGAAAATAAGCAAGATCTTGCTTGTATACCATTGTCACTGAGTTATTTATCAGCTCTTAAAAGAAGTTAACAAGTGTTCTTCTACAATTTCAGGAAACAGCCTGGTAACATTGCTGTGCCACCTCTTCAATGTGCATGGGCTTGTTCACCATTTCCAGTTAGACATGGTTACATTACATAGGTTTTTAGGTAAGTCCTTTCTTTAATGCTATCGTCAGAGGCATTTTACAGCTTAGGCAGGACACAAAGCATGGTGTGGTCTTGCTCCAATGATATTTTATTATATTGCTGACATTTGCATACAATTATATTCTTGCATATATTAGCAATTGAACATTTCTGTAAAATACACTAGCCTACTTTACAAGAAGTAAAGATTCAGACCAATTGAAGTCAATGGTGAGATTTCAGTGGACTTTGTACTGGCTCTAAACCGGTCTTTCAACAGACCAGAAAAAGCTAAACTGCTGATTTAAAAAAAATAATCAATCACTTATACTGAGCCACATACAGACTGGGGAGGCCCAACAGACAGACAGACAGACACACAGTTGAGTAAATCCAAACATCTCAGTGGAAAAGGAACTGTAGTACAGCGTTATTTTAATGATTTATAGAGAAGCTAAGAGCCTATTTACAAACTTTAACTAATTATATAACTGGATAGCACTGATAAAAGCCACTGCTGCTGCCACCTCTGCCAACAGAAATATTAGCCCCCATGTTGTCAGGCTATCAAAGAAAAGAGAAAGCCAAAGACAAATAACTCCATGCATTGCATTCTGCGAAAGAGAGATGTTAAAGGCAGTATCCTGCCAGTGAGAAAGCACCATTCCTGGAAAGTGCAAACTTTGCAACAAACAGAAGTGTACCCCAAACACCAGAGTAACTCATCCTATTTTAACTGTCATGACTGATAGTACAGGGCAAGAAGCAGCCTCTCAGGTCACTCAATCTGAACTTATACAGGTCTTAAAGAATTACTGTCCACACCTTCCGTTGATTTATATATTTGATATATAGACATGCTGTGCTAGCTGGAAAAAAACTCTATTGAAATAGTATATACACACACCAGTAATTGTCTCTTGGAACTAGTATAAAAGACCAACAACAATAATTACAACTAAAGCCTTATGCCAGAAGGAATTACGAGTGAGTGATTTTCTCTTTTGTGCCACATGCACATCCTCAGTTATTAGCCTCATGTGTGGTGTGTCTATCCCAATCAGAACAATATTATATTCAGACCTTCTAGCATTTAATAGGGAAGTCTCATGCTTGAGATTTCTTATCTCCCTTAATACATTTTGGAGATTTGATTGACAGGAAAGCCATTCAATAGTAATGAGTGAATACCACTGCAATTTTGCTTCTATCCCCTCTTCCTAATTAACAGGACATTGTCTTCAGAAAGGAGGGTGATGCGTGGGCAATGTTACCATACAACCTTTGCATATAGAATGCCAACGTCATTTTGTCCTAGGATGGTACAGTGGATTGCCTGGCGGTAGAATGTGCTGCCACATAGCACAACTAAATTCCAAGAGAAAACCTCAGTAATTTCTTGTGTCAACAGGAATTGAGAGAAGGCTGTAAATAAAGTCAGACCTCAATCTTCCAGGTGGAAAGTTAGCTTTTCCAGCACTGAAAACTAAAACAAAAGGGACTGGGATTTTAAAATGAAAACATTCCAGGAATGTTCACTTGGATATTTCTGAGACCCTGCCTGAACGATGTGAACACTTCTTTGATCATGGATAATCAGTCAAGTAATAAGCTCCCACACACCTCCCACCCCAAATGTGAAATAGGTACTGCCTTAATGACATATTACTCACGTATTGACAGCGGCCTAAAATAATTACACTATAGTGTGTTTGATTTTACTTCACTTGCTCCCACCCTTATTTTACTTCTAAATGAGAGCTTTCACTAGGGCAAGAAAAGCTTGATTTATGAACTAGGAGCAGGATCCTCTAGGGCCTCACAAATCCTTTCAGGCAATTTTTTTTCTTCCAAAGGTATCTTAGTAAGAATGCCAAGCTATGCAAGCGGTCTAAGTAAAGAAAATCCCCAGGCCACTGAGCATAACACCAATTCTTGTTTTAACCCTAGTTTCCAAGAACAATCATGGTGTTGGGACATGTAATCTTTTCTCTGTTTTGTTGTCTAGTTATGGTTCAAGAAGATTATCATAACCAAAACCCATACCACAACGCTGTCCACGCTGCTGACGTCACTCAAGCTATGCACTGCTATCTAAAGGAGCCCAAGGTAATAACAAATAAAAACAACAGGACTTTGCACTGACTGAGCTTTTCATAGAAGAGTTTCAAATCACAGTACTGGATTGATAAAATAGCTATTGTGTAGGTGGGGTTGAGCCACTTAAACTCACCCTGACTCAAGCTTATGGGCTACTCACTGTAGCAAAATCAGAAACAGTCCAATGGCCTGATTCTGATCTCATTTGAATTGGTGTAACCAAAGGGCAATTTTGTGAAAGTCAATGGAGTGTTACCAATGTTAGCTAGGAATACGTGAGAGTGGAATCAAGCCCTATGTTTTATCAGTCGCAGTCCTCTACACTAACCACAAGACCCTGCTGCCTCTAACTGCACGGAATAGCTGACATCTGGAGTCTGCAGGGCACATCATTTGTTTCTCATTGCAGAGTACTTTATTCAAATCAGAACACATTTATCATTATAACAGTAATAAATAACTAGCGCTCGGCAACAGAAAGGCTTGGGGGCTTCTTCCAAATCTGAATGAAAGTGATCTTCCACTCTGCTTCTGAATAATGTGAAAATATTTCACAAAGGATTGAGGCCAACATTTTCAAATGTGGGTGTCTGACAGTAGCTAAATCAGGTCTGTTATTTAGGTGTCTGAATCTGGATTGAGATGCCTACCATTAAGCAACCAACTTTGAACATTTTGGCCTTTGCACACTGAGAGTACAGTGCTGTACTAGTACTGTAAAGTACCACAAACATTTTTGTAGAAACTACCCCAAGGTTTTTGTAACCTGTTCATTGCTCACGGCAACATAAAAACTATTATAATGAGTCAGCATATAGCCTGATTGATCGTTTTGAGAGCTACACACATGCAATTAACTCAAAAGTGTCAGACCTGTAGATGGTAGTGTATAAATAGTTATCTCAGATGATAGCACTGCAAACTGAACTATAGAACCAAACAATTACACGGTGTAGCAGTTGCTTTGATCTTCTCACTAGAAGAATTGTTTGTGATAATATTGTGGTCAATTTTGTGTGGTCTAGCTTGCCAGCTTCCTCACCCCTCTGGACATTATGCTTGGACTGCTAGCTGCTGCAGCTCATGATGTAGACCATCCTGGGGTCAACCAACCATTTTTGATCAAAACCAACCACCACCTTGCCAGCTTATACCAGGTGAGATTGTGCTTGCGGAGTTTGGTAGAGTGGAAAGGATTAAGACAAATCTGAGGCATTGCTGCAATGCCTTTTTAGGTTGAAGCTATGGTTTCAAGTCTAGTTGAGTTACAGTAGTTACAAGTTTGACAATTTCAGCATAGAACCTCGGTACACATTTGTTTGCAATGCAAAACTACCACTGCCCCTGAGCAACAGGGTGCATATACCAATGTCTGGTCAGGACAATATTAGCATTGAAAAGGCAGCAAGGATGGGAAGATTTCTGAAGGGGATAGGCTGGGGGGGCCCGCCGCTGGGGGGGGGGGGGGGGAGCACTAAGGGCAGGGAGAAGAGTGCAGCATAGTCCCAACAATGCTGAGGGCTGACTGCCTCACCTTCTGCTTTAGGCCCTGCCCCTTCCAGGAGCGTGGAGCCACCAACCACCTTGCCTGGGGGGCCCAGCCATTCTGTTGGCTACCCTGGGCTGGGCTAATATGTGGATTTGTGGATTGCAATCAACAGTTTTCTAAAAACACTAAGGGCAGGGAGAAGAGTGCAGCATAGTCCCAACAATGCTGAGGGCTGACTGCCTCACCTTCTGCTTTAGGCCCTGCCCCTTCCAGGAGCGTGGAGCCACCAACCACCTTGCCTGGGGGGCCCAGCCATTCTGTTGGCTACCCTGGGCTGGGCTAATATGTGGATTTGTGGATTGCAATCAACAGTTTTCTAAAAATTCCTTCCCAGTCCTACATATGGTGATTAGTGAGAGCAAGAACCAATCAGCTAGGCAACTGAGAGAGAGAATGCTTGGTGCAGCCCAGAGCATTGGCCCTCTCCTTCCAGTGTCTCATCTCCAGCTGTGATCAGCTCTGATGCTTCAGAGGAAGGAGACCAAAAACAAACACACAGAGAATACATTGGAGGTAGGGGAAAAGAAAATCCCTTCCTGGCCCTTGCAGGAGACCAGCTGAAGGCCTGAAGCATGTTATTTTAGGAACATAGCATATATACCAAAGGGATCCTCAGGACTGCTGAGCACTGCTCCCAATATCACAGGCAACTTTGTCATACAGTCCTACTCATAAATGTGTCCAACTCTTGCTTAACACTAATTAAGTTATAAATCCATATTATTTATGTGCATATATATCTATATCTATATGTACTGTATCTGTATCATGCACCCGACATAAATCCATGTATGTTTATATGCGTGTTTGGAAGTCAGCTTTGACTACTGAACTTAACTTTGAGAAGCAGCACGTGGCATTAGAAAATCTTGACACTAAGCAGGAATAAGTGGAGTTAGGATCAGGGAACTGATGTGCTTACTTTGGGGCTTTTCAATCCAAGAAACATAAAAATGTATGTTATGCACTGATCGTGATCCATGGCCTTCAAAATTCAGATAGTGAACATGGACCTGTCAAAAAAAATCTGGTCTATTGGTGATGAATAGAATTCTTTAAACCATATGCACTTTGAGGAGAAGGGATGCTAAAGGCAATGTTCCTTTCTGAATACACTGAGCATGATTACAGCACGGTCCTGTTTTAATACTTTGTTGACTACTTAGAGAGGAAGATTCTCTCTTCCTCCTCGCCAGCATCCCCCTCATCTGCCCTTCCCCTACATAGACACTTTGGTTTGACAGATAAGATGGTGATTGTGTAACAGTTCAACTGTCCTTCTACTCTGAGATAAAGGAACAGACGGGGCCATGTGAGCCAAGGTCAGAACAGTGTGGTGTTCGCAAAGCTATGACTTTGTGACTGGCTTAACTTGCTGAGTCAGTTTACGACAAATTATATCCAAACAGCAACCACAGCTAGGTTCTGCCTACATTATTTTGCTCTGGTCTCCTCTAAATGTCAGTGCAATTAGATTGGAGTGGAGAGGAGGGAAACCAAGTAGTAGTGGAAGGCAGAGTTAGGATCCATGAAAAGAGAAGTGGGGAAGATCCATCTCATACAAACCCTGACAACAGAAAAATGATGAATTTTTTTTTTCAACTGTCTACTTAATATCCATTCTTCCTCACTTCCTGGTAGATTTTAGTTTACCTGTGCACTACCAAGTTGCAGCCAGAAATAGGAGTCTCTTTACAGCGAATCCCTTCTCACAGAGAAGCTCATTCTCATGTCATTCATAGCCCAGATTTATGGTTTTGAGGGATGTGGGTAGCTCATGATTTTTTACATCACTGAATCTTCTGAGGTTTGGCCATCAGAAACATCAGTGGCATGCTCTTGACAGCTTCGCCGCCACCACTGTCCCCCCCTCCTCCTGCCCCGAAAGAACATCCTTTTCTACTTCTTTTGGGACTAAGGAACAACATATTTTTGGCCATTAGTAATCTCATTACGATAGAGTACTCTGTATGGCAACTGTGCCAATCCATACCATGGGTATTAGGCACTAAACATAATGAAAGCTTCCTATAGCCAGCCATAAATATGTCTCTGTCTACTAGCAGTTCAAATAAAGGGATAAGCTTCCTCTAGACCAGAAGCTAATTGTTAAGAAACAAACTGGTTTGCAATTCACACTGGCCCACCACGTCCTAGCCCTCTCCCTGTTTGGTTTATATCCTCACTAGCTAAAGCAACCTAATACCTGTTGGCAATAAGCCTTAATAAGTCAGCGGAAGGGGCCTTGGTGGAAAGCTGACAATTCTAAGTGCTAGCAGCAGCTGTCTGGTTTCTAGATGCTTGCACTTAATGCTAGAGATGTATGGCTTCATGCTCAGCTGTCACTTGATAACCTGATCTTTCTTTATTTGTCCAGAGTGAATTTAAAAGATGGGGGGACAGAAGGAGAAGGGGTGAAGCAAGAGACTAAGAGCTTTTATGTAATCTTTCTGTATTGCTTCACTCAACTCCCTGTCCTGCTTCTTTTATCTGTAGCCCCTCCTCACTCAGACCTTTGCTACCACTTTTGCCACATTCCTCCTCTTCTCTCCCTCCCCACAAGGCCCCTCCTCTGCCCACAGCATCTCTCCTCCACCACTCTTCTCGTCTCTCCTCTCTTCCATTCCTCTCCCCCATGGGGGCCGGAGGGTGGCAACAAATAACAGTCAGGGGGAGGTCTTGTGGGGAGGAGGGTAAAGGAGAGAAGGCAGGGAGAGGAAGAGGCGGAATGCAGCCAAAGCCACCATAGCCCAGGCATCCAACGGCCTCCCTGATCTATTGTACCCGCTGCACATGCACAAGCAGAAATGTACAGAACTGAAAATATACAATCATCGTTTTCTAGTAGGAACTAAGTAATTATTATTTATTGAACTTTTATAGCAGCTTTCTTGAAAGTATCTCAGGGTACTTTTTGACATTAATTAATCAAACCCTATCACTTTCCCTTTCCCTGAATAAAAAAAAACATATCTCAGTTTTAGTAAGACCAAAAAAAAAATAGAGCAATGATGCAAAGAATGAGTTAGAAGAGTAAATTCAGAGAATGTGAAAGAAGTAAGAGAAAAATAGATAATGTAAGGATCTAGTTGGACCTGTTTTTCCATATATTATCCTTCCCTCTCAGATCTTCAGTAACATGGTCTACCCCATTTTTTCCTTTCCTTGTTGGTTACTAGCAATGTTTCTGCTTTTTTTCCCATGAATCTGCAGAATAAACGTTGTTGTGTGTACCAATATGGAGGTGATGTGGAATGGGCTGAGGGGTTCAGAGTGTGGGAAGGGCCTCAGGGCTGGGGCAGAGGACTGGAGTAAAAGGGGTGGCAGCTCTGGCTGGGGGTGTTGGCTCTGGGATGGGGCTGAGGGACTCAATGTGTGGAAGGTACAGGTCTGGGTACTGGAGCCAGCAGAGAGGCAACTCTTCCTGCCATGACAGGTCCGGGGCTGCGGATGCAGGAGAGGTGTCTCTTCCCAGTCCCTTACCCCCTGTGGAGACTGTGCTGGGGAGAACTGGCTTTTAAGCTGGCTCCCCCCAACACCGGCTCCTGCTCTCCCTCCTGATACAGAGGTAGTGAGGGGAGGGGGCGGGGGGGGGGGGGGGGGGAGAGAGAAGGCATTTTTCCCCACCACAGCCCTGAGTGAATGTGCAGCCCTTGACAGGTTGCTGCACGGCCACACAGCTTAAGGGAACATAGGATACTAGTTATTAATAAATGGTGTGTCAAAGAAACAGTATAACAGACCTTGTAGGATGCAATAAGCATTTATCATGGATGTCTCCTCAGCAGCAAGACTGCTTGATAATAAGATAGCTCTGAGAAGAATTGCTGTTATATTTTATACTGTCACCATCCACCATCTTATGGTCTGTGTCTGTTGAGGGCAGATCGGAGGCATCTTGATCTTTCATTATTTTATCGTTTATATTGTGGCAGTGTCTAGTCAGGATTCCACGTGCTAGGTCCTCTTCAAACACATACCATGAGACAGTTCCTGCTTCAAAGAGCTAACACACTATTTGTTGTATGATTCTGCAGGTACATTACACTTTGAGCACTTATTCCAGTTTGTATATTTCCTTCTAACCTAAAACTCATTGGTCACCAGGACACACTGAAAGAAAATATCAATTATAGGAGGACCTGGCAGAAAAACTGATAATTAAAGGTTGCCTGGCACTTCCCATTCGAAGACGCTGATTTCAATAGCTTATAACTTTGGTTGGACTGAAATTTTTCATGACAGGTGTCTGCTTTCAGTTGAAACAGTTCAGGATTTCTGAGAATGAGATTGAAGGAAAAATACATTGCTCTGACCCTTATTAAAAAACTTACAACCAGTTAATAGAGACATTCTAGCGCTTTTATGCTTTGCAGCGATTACTTGAAATTTGGCAGGCTGTTGCCAGGGTTTCCGCTCCTCACCTTTAAATTGAAGATCTCATCTCCTCATTTCACAGGAGTATTGTAAAGATAAAGTCATTAATGTTTACGAAGCACTGCAATACTTAGTGAGTAGTACTATTCTAGCCGCCCCGCGACAGTTGCTAGGGAAGGGCCACGGACTGCTAATTGAGGAGGGGGTGTTGTTTGGCGGAGGGGCTGAGGC